TTACAAATCAATAATAATCAGTATTTTGAATTAATAAATTAATTCAAATAAGGTTAACTGATTTTAAACTGATTTTATACTGATTATAGCCAAAAATCGTCTAAAATCAGTAAAAAATAATATTATTTAATAACCTATAATCAGTATTTAATCAGTTTATAATCAGAATGTCAGTTTGTATTGATTTAAAAATTTATATACAATCAGTAAATTTACTGATTTTTTAGTTTTCGACCTGTGCTACAAATTGATGATTACACAAAGTACTAAAGACTATAATACTTTGTGTAACTATTAATTTGCAGATCTCTATATTCGCGTCTTTAACTCCAAATATCTTGGGATCCACTAGGCTGATTTTGATGAACTAACTACTACCGTACACCACTGACTATAGTACCTGGGGTACTATTCTTCCAACCACTAGTTTTTATTGAATAGTACCCGCCTGGGTATTAATTACAGGGGCGGGTATAAATACAAAGGGTACTTTGTAGTAGGGTACTTTACAATGGGGGTACATTAATTAGTTAATATATAGTTCAATATTACTGTACTGATACCAGTATGACATACAAAGTTTACTTTTAAAGAAATAAAGAATATAATATCACTAGATAACAGTATGTTTAAATATAATTTTTTCTTTTTTTTTTTTACTATATTTCTTTACACTATGGTACGTGGAAATAAGAATCATGGTCAGGCTCGAATTACTCAAAAAAAAAGGCGACAGTGGAATGTTCGTGAAAAACTTGCAATCATCACATTTCTTGAAAAGCATCCTAGTAAAAGTGTTTGTGCAACTGCTACACATTTCAATATAGAACCAAAGCAAGTTAGAGATTGGCGAAGTAAAAAAGAAAATTTGATGCGTGTTTCACCTCATATTAGAAAGTTAAATAACGGAAGACCACCAAAGTATCCTGAATTAGAAAATAAAATTTATGGTTGGGTAAAAGATTTGCGAGGTGCACTTAAACCTGTAATATGATCAATGGTTCAAATTAAAGCAAAAGTATTATCAAAAAGATCACCCTATGTTACATTATATCCTAATATTTCTGATGCTAAATTTTTAGATAAATGGGTTGATGGCTTTATGACTCATCATAAATTAAGTAATAGACGTAGAACAACTGTGGCCCAAAAACTTCCAGAAGAATTACAACCTGCACTACAGGAATTTTTAAATTTAATTATATATCGTAGAATTCAATTCGATTATCCGCTTGCCTTAATAGGTAATATGGATGAGGTTCCTATGTCATTCGATCTTCCTACCAATGTAACAATTGATAATTGTGATACAAATACGGTTTCATTAAGGACCTCTGGTTATGAAAAATCAAATTTTACTGTTGTGCTTACTTGTATGGCAGATGGAACTAAACTTCTACCTGTTATTATTTTTAAACTTGTAAATGTTCCAAAGCAAACATTCCCTGCAGGTGTAATTATTCGTACAAATTCTAGTGGATGGATGAATTCAAATGAAATGCTATGGTGGATAGAGAATGTATGGAATCATAGAGGAAGGACAAATCCCCGCTCTCTTTTAGTTTTAGATTCATTTAAAGGGCATATAGAAGATATTGTTAAGCGTCGATTTTTTGAAAAAAATACTAATTTAGCTGTAATTCCGGGAGGTTGTACTTCAAAATTACAACCATTAGATGTGGCTGTAAATAAATCGTTTAAGGCAAAGGTACTTCAATAAATTTATTTATTTATCATTATTATATGAGTTATGCCAAATTAAAACCTAAAACTAAATATCGATATATTCAGTTTCAGGTTTTAATTTGGCAAAACTTATATTTAAATAAATAATTAATAAATTTTATTTTAGATGCGGCATTATTATAACAATTGGCTAGATAATAGTATTTTAACTTACACTAAGACAGGTTGTATTCAACGCCCTATAATTTGGTCGCTCAATGGATACTTCAGGCGTGGAATGAAATTGATCCTAACCTTATACAAAAAGCTTTCAAGTGTTGTGGCATATCTAACTCACGAGATGGTACAGAAGATAGCTTAATTTTTGATTACGATAGACTTGGTCAACGTACAAATTCACGTAACCATATGTATATGCAAGATGAGTTTGAAAACTCTAGTGAAAGTTCAGGTTCAAATATTGCTGAAGGTTCCAATACAAATATTGTTGAAGGCTCTAATACAAATACTGATGAAGGCCCTAATACAAGTACTGACGAAAGCTCAAATATAAACATTAGTGAAGGTTTATGAAATATTATTTAGAGTTTTAAGTTATCAATTAATAATATAAAGTTTTTGCCTTGAAAATAGCCTTATCGTATATAGTAATTACTATATGCTATTAGGTTATCTTCAAGGCAAAAATTCTATATAAATATAGTATTAACTAATTTATAAGTTTTTAATTCAGTAGAGGTAATTAATCTTATGAGTGAAGACGATACTGACAACGAAGCTGAAGCCGATCCTATTCATGAATATAAAGCCGATTCTGATAACGATAACCAAGCTACTTTTAATAGTGAAAGTAAAGACGATTATTATAAAGCAGAGGAAATTAATTATATTAATGATTGGGCATAATCGAGACCCAAAGTTAAAGTATTATATATTAAGTAATGCAAGATTTTTTAAAAAAATTTTAATTAGTTTTTTAACGTAACTTTAATAAATTTATTTGGTTATATTTGAAATTTAAGGTGAAAGCCTAAAGGTAAGTAGGCAAGTTTTTTTTTGTATTTATATAATGTAACTTTATTAAATTTATTGATTATGTTATTGCATCTGAAATTTAAAGCCGAAGACCAAAAGTTATATTAAAACAATAACGAAGTGATTTCAGTTTAAATACCATAATATGGAATTTGCGTTAAAAAATTTTTAGAAAATTAAAAAAAAATGAAAAAAATGGTGGATTATATAGAAAAATGAATCAAACTTTTTTTTTACTTGTATGTTAATCGCAATTTTTTTTTTACTTATATGTAAATTTTAACTTTCTTTATATATAAGATGTTAATTTGTAATTAGCATTATATAAATAAATAGAAAAATAGTTCAAATGCTGTCTAAATAGTTTACTAAAGTCTATCGTAGTAAATTAGTAACAAAAATTTTATTAATTGTATTTTCTTTTTTTCAACTTGTTAAACAAAATGCCTCAATAAAATTCTAGTATTTAATCTTTATAATAGGGTTGCTAAAAAATACAAATCAAAATTTCTTTTAACTATATATTAAATACTTGTAGATCTATTTATGCTGAAACATTAAGTTGAAATTCTTCGATGCAATTATTTTTATTTTAACTTGTCTATCTTTGAATTGTTATTATATAGGGTCTTTGCCTTGAAAATCAAGTATAGGACATATGATTTACTATGTCCCATGACTTGATTTTCAAAGCAAAGACCCCATATGTTAGTTTACATGCCAGATACTATTGCTGAATTCATGTTATCTTCATTATATTCTGTGCATTTATATAACTAGGATCTCATTACTAATACCCGGGTCTTATTCAATTTTTTAAATCTTGACCCCATGATTAGTACCTGGGTCTTTTAAACAGGGGGGGTATTATACTCAGGGGGTACTATAGTCAGCGGCGTATGGTATTAGAACTATAAAAGTCTCCTCTACAACTTTACTTAGAAGCCCAACAAACCCTAACCTAATAAAATTTTCTTTAATTTTAAAAAAATTAATTTTCTTTATATTTGCATCTTTAACTCTAATTATCTTGGGATTTACCAAGCCGATTTTGATGATCTAACCACCATCAGGACCAGAAAAGTCTTATCTACAACTTTACTTAGAAGCCCAACAAACTCTAACTTAATAAAATTTTCTTTAATTTTAAAAAATTGATTTCTTAAATTTAATTGATCGTTAAAAATAGAATTTTTTATATCTTTTTGTGTAACTCATGGTGAAAATGCAATTCTCTAATTTTAATGCTTATTAATTTATTTAATTTATCAAATCAATAATTTGCAATCTTGTCTGGTTTTTTTTATATCTGCAAGTTTTTGACAACTAATATTGTTTTTTTCAATTCTATTGTAATAATAATTAGCTAAAATATTTTTATTGCTAAATTATTTAAATAAACAAGCAAATTGTTTCTTTGTATCTATAGGTTTTATTATATAATAAATATTTAATTTTTATTCTTAATTCTAAATATTTCATCTTAATTATTTATACTTACACTTTCGACAAAGAATATTTTATTTTAATTATAATCATTACAAATATCTATATATCCATTATCATCATATGTAATCAACTCATTATCTGAAAATAAATTATCAAATACACTTTCTTTCAAATCATTATTGTTTACTAAATTTTCAACAAAATCCATGTTTTTATTTAATTTATCTACTTGACCAAGATTTCTTAAAATTCGCAAGTTCTATTGAATATAAACACATTTTTTTACTTTTGGATCTGCAAGTCTGTTATGTAACTTGTTATATATAAAGCCAAAAGTTGACCAATTTCTTTCGCAAGCTACAGAAGTAAATGGTATTGATAATATGCATAATGTAACCTCACTTAATATGGAATATCTGCCTTTAAATAATCAGATTTGTATAAGATTAGAATTTTACAAATATTGTCATGCAAAATGTCATTTTTTTTTTAGAAACATATTCTGTATATTCATTTAATACATTTTCTTAATCTTGACTTGGTACTAATCATATTAATTCATCTTCAATAATTGAATCTCATTTTTTTTAATTTAAAGTTTTACTTTGATATTAAGGATTGAATTTGTATAATAATATAATTACTGGATTATAAAGAAAGTTATTTCAGGATAAATTAGTTCTAAGGATATAGGTGAGCAACTGGAACTTCGTAAGATGTAACGGTGATACAGATAGAGTTACATTACAGAGGGTTTAATTAGATAGCTCAAGTAATAGTAGGTTATAGGTATGACATCTAGTGTAGAACCTAGTAATAGGTAGATACTTAATTAGGCGCCTAAAAGGCGCAGGCATGGCTAGAATGTACTCTCTAATGTATGGGGTTGGGATGAGCCTCTCATTCGTTAAATACTTGATTAAAAACCTTAGTCCCAAAGAGGCTAGTTAAAGAGAAAAAAAAAAAAAAAAAGTTATTCCATCATTCTGTTTTTTTATTAATTGAATTAGTTTTAAAATTATCAAGAACTTCAGTATTTTTAGAAATAGAAAATTTTAATTTATACAATTCTGAATAAACTGTTGAAAGCATAAGTTGATCAGTTTGTAATTTTTTTAAAAAAATAGCAAAAGTCGAAAGAAAATTACAAAAAATTTTAAAATTAAACCAAAAATTATCTAATAAAATTTTATTTTTAATTTTATTAAATAATTTAATACAGTCAGCCCTCTCTAAATGCATGATGTTGGACCATAGTAAAAAATTAAAAAAATATATATTTAAAGAGGTTATGTATTTAGGGAGGTAAAAATCTATAAATGTTATATTAGTTGGGTCCAAGAAAAGACATGCATTTAGAGAGGTTTTTCATATATATGCATTTAGAGAGGTTGCATTTAGGAAGGTCTAACTGTATTATTTTGAATGGCATTCTTTGAATAGCCATTTTAATTTTTAAAAGATTACTTGCTGAATAAAATACAGATCTCTATTGAGTATCTCCGAGAAGTAATAATGATATATGTTTATTATAAACTTCCATTTGAAGTCAACGTAGTGTTGCTAAGCTTATTTGATGATTTCAAAAATAATTAAAAATTTCTTTTATAGATCATATAATTTGATATACCTATTCTAAATTAATAATATCTTTTATCCAAAGATTAAGTCCATGTGCCCAGCAACCTTTAAAACCTAATAAATTATAAATTATAAATATAAATTACTATAAATTATATTTAAAATAATATTTATTATTATAAATAAATTTAGTAAATACTTTTCTTGAAAATGATATTTTTAAAATTTCCCATGCTGTTTTCAAAATATTAGCATTGTATGTAATAATTGCAGCAATCTTATTTTTACCAACTTCGTTAATAATATTTTCAATTCCCCTAGCTATATTGATTGCTGTGTGTTGTTCTTTACCAGTAAATATTGCTTTATAAAAAAAGGGACTTGGTGTTGTAATCATATAATTAATTACTGACAATTGATGAATATTAGACCATCCATCACTTGTAATACAAAGATATTCTGATTCATTTAAAATGCTTTCAATGAGTTGTTTAATTTTTACATATTCTTGATTTAAAAATGTATTTGATAAATGGTATCATAATAAAACCTTAAACTATGAAATACCTTTTTGAAATACAGCTTTAATATCTTCATTTTCGATGATATTAAATGACATTCCAGCTAAACAAAAAGCCTGAGCCAATAAATTTTCCAATGCTTTCTGATCACTTTCACTATATTTATAATCCAACTCATCTTGAATATGACATTTTTTTGCACTATTATTACTGGATATAATATTTATCAATTCATATTCAATTGACTTTTTTTGGTAATTAATACATTTTTCAAGATGGCCTTGAAGTCTTTAGCATATTTATTATTGCAATGTTTGCAACAATACGTCTCCATTTCATTTGAGTTATCAATGACTAATTCGAATTCTTGCCAAAAAGCACCTTGTTGTCATGACATTATTGAACAATAAATTTACTATAGTATAATTTTTATTTTTTATATAGAGATAGTATTTTAAACAATTTATATTACATCATTATCACTAATGATTACTAATCCTAAATTGGTTAATTATTACATAATTTATTATAGTTCTTATACCGGCAACTTACTATTAGTAATTTATTGGTAACTTACCGCGGTAAGTTACCGTAATAAATTACCATTAACAACCCTGAGTAGATCTAATTTGAATTACATGATTCTGGTACGATTCGATTCGTCTCATCGAGACGAATTGAATGGTACTAAAATAATGTGATTTGGATAGATAGTTTTCGAGATAAAGGTAGATATGTCTAATTTAACGAATGTAAACGTTTACGATCAATTTTGGTACCATTCTATTCGTCTCGATGAGACGAATCGAATTCTGATCGATACATCACATGATATTTATCGTAAACGTTTACCTGCGCCAATTAGACACTACATCAAATTAGCAACATTTTTTTAGACAACCTTTAATGAGTGATATCTCGTGATTTAGTGATAAAGAATTGGTACCATTCGATTCGAGACGAATCGAATGGTACTAAAATCATCAGATTCTGATGATATATCATGTGTATTTATCGAAAACGTTATCTGTGTCAAAATAGGCATATCTACCTTATATAATAAAGCATATCGATATAAATCTTCCGTTATATTTTGATTCTTTAAAGGTAATTGTCTCAATTGTTTCTATGACCAATCAATCTAACAAGTTTTAAATCATTCCAATTGTGCATCTAGGTTAATTAGAGTAAAATAGACAATATCGATATAATTACAACAAGTTTGGATTAAATAATATTTTGTACTAGTTTACTATTATTAAGTATATAATGAATTTTCGATTATGCAGATATGTTGACCCGATACATAAAACGTTCTCAAAAAAAGTACTATAAAGTGTATAAATTAGTTACCCAGCTTGATTTTAATCGACCAATCGTCAGTGCTGAAATGACAAACTACAAACATTGCTGATCATGTAACCAATTCAGGTATACAAAATTTAAACATATAATAATAAAAAATAAAAATAGTACTGCCAAGACTTTTTGGATGCCATGTTTTTTTTATTTTCGAGTGATACTGAATCTACTAAATATTTGAGTAATGGAGCAACACGCGAAATCTAAATCATTTTCTAACGGTGATATCAAAACAGAAATATCATCGCCACATAATGGTAATAAAATAACGACAGTTATCTGTTCGCCTAAACTTAAATATATTGCGACATCGAGTTCGATCAAGGAAAAGCGAGATTTTATGATTGCAGTGTGGCCAGTTATTGGTGAAAAAAATACATTGCATCCAGAATCGAGCGTTACTTTTCGACAATTTATTAATGATGATGGTGCTGTAAATCACAAATTGCGGTCTGTCTCCGATAATCGTTTAGTTGTCGTAGAATATACTAGTCATAATGAACCTAGTATACGTGTTTTTGGTAAGTAAACACTACAGTCAGAACTAATTATACTATATCTCATAAGCACATTATGTTTGAAATACGTTACTTTCAAATATATTTAAATCAATTCTCTAAAGTCTCGATTTCATTCCAACTTTTATTCATTTTATTTTTCAGTTATTTTCGATCTTGTCCAGGGCTGTCATATCAAGGTTCCGGGGATTCCTATGCAATCTCATTATCATTTATTTGAATGCGCTTTTCTTGACAATGGGGATTTGGTGGTTATTAATGATACAGACGTCTTTGTGTATACTGTTAACTTTTTTAGAGGTCAAAGTTTATTAATATGTAAAGCAGCTTATGGGTTTACCCACCGTTATACTAAATGCTTAATCGCTAAATTTGGAATATTAATACCTGCTTGTTATAAATACGAATATAAAGAAGATGAGATTAGAACTCAATGGAACATCGAAACTGGATCTTTTGCGGCTCAGTTGCCTATGGATTTTAGGAGCGTAGAAGATTCTGATGGCCGTGATGGTCTTGTTCGAAATAACGATAATACTTTATTTGCATCATATACGTGTGTAGGAAAGCCTCTAAAGCGAATCCTTAATGTTTATGCTGCCGAAACCGGCGTAAAACTTTTTTCATGTAAGAATTATAAATCTTTCATCCTATTACATCTATTAATATCTAATCAAAATTTTAATATTTATAATAGATACTCTTAAAGATAATCAATATGGCATTGATTTCGTGCGTAGTGGTACACATTTATTGGTTCCATCATTCACTAAGTATACAAAAATCGATGATCCGCCGGTTATCGATCTTTTAACATTTATAGATCCATTCTCGTCTAACAGTCCTGTAAATGTTTCTTTAAATAAATCTGCTGATGAATTTAAAGTTCCATTAGAATTTACTCCTCGATTGATAAATAAAAATAAGGCTATTGGAATAGTAGATGGACTTGTACATGTTCGTGATATTATTCAGGAAAATCATTCACAAAAGGATGCTCATGATTATAATAAGATCTATTGGCAAAATTTTATGGAAGAAATAGCTGATAATCTTAAAAGCTACTTGGGATCTAATAGTTCAATTACCTCAAACTATAACAAAGTTTATTCTGGCAATAGTATTACCTGGTCAATTTTTGACACACAAAATGGTGAAGAGCTCACTGCATTCATTCTCAATAAGATTACTTATTATTGGGAGCCAGTCAATATAAGACGCGGTTTTTATTTCAATAGAATCGATGACAGATTAGCTGGTGGGATCCAAGATTGCAGGATACTATCTAATGATGATTTGATGGTTGTTAATAGAAGTTTTATATTGATATTTACTCTTGACAACGAACATAAAATACAAATAAGTTATTGGTGGAATAGACATAGTTTGATTTCTGGTGATGTAAAACTGGATTGCTTAATTTCAGTTCGGTATTTTGAAGATATTTTGAAATATTACGAAGTTGAAATGGAAAATGTTAAAACAAACGAAATATCATATCCTCTTCATGAGCTGATCGAAAATAAGATCACAGATCTGTTATTTTTTACGTTACATGCTCCAAAAATTTTAAAAGCAGCAATCAAATTCCATAGGGGTGATGTCGTTGAACTCGTTTGTGATCAATGTATGGAATTTTTCAAGATTAATCAAAAAAATCTCGCAATCCTTTCAATATTATCAAGTGTTTTATTCAAGCTTGCAAAGTATTATCCCGGAAGTGCTAGTAAATTTCTAGCTCAAACTACTTTAGTAATGAAACCTATGGATCATTTACATATTCATTCCACATCTTATCCACATCTTTACACATATACCTTAGAACATCATATGTTTGAACTCGATAGATTTTCTAAATTTTATTTGAAAATCTATAGATTATATAATAAGTTCAAACTAGATTTACAAACTTCTGACTTGTGGAATAGTAGTATTGAATTTCTTGGTTATAATAGAAAATTTAAAAGACCCACTCTTGATTTATTTATACCTTTGTCAAAATTTGCTTCCTATCCCGTTGAATATAATTTTTGGATGGAGCTCTTGGGTAGACCACAAGCAAATGGCTTTGTGAAAATGCAAACAACAGAATTATATTCTGATTGGAATGGAGAGGCCTTACTTAATTTTAAATGGAATACTTTTGGGAAATATTATTACTTCTTTAACTGGTTTGTCTATACAATGTTTCTTGGGACTTTTGCCTTCGCAGCTACGGATCCAAAAGATTTCATCTCAGAACATAATCAAAGAATTCTCCTATGGCTCTCAATTTTCTTGGGATTTTATCACCTGTCATTTGAAATACGACAATTTATTTTTAATTGGAAAGATTATATATTGAGCGCTTGGAATTTTTTCGGTATGCAGATTTCAATAATTTCAATAATCACAGATCATTATATCAAGATCACGAGAGATTAACAAATAATACTCCGAGTCGTATGTGTACAAGCGGGAACGAAGTTCTCGTTAATATCCAACGGCTCAGGATATTATCATTATTAATCATTAGTTTGACACCAGTTCATAACACTTAACATTTACTTCTATGTCATAGATCTAGGTGCATATATTTTTCCGGTTGCTACTTCCATATACTGGCTAAATCATGGCCCTCCGCCGCTATGGGCACCAGCGATTTCCAATCTATTTCTTGACCTAAAATTTTTATTTTTCTTACGACCTTTTGAATCTTTTGGCGTCTACTTTGCCATGATTACTGGTGTTGCCCGAAAAGTATTCTCCTTTTTAATAATTCTGGGTTTGATCCTTTTAGGATATACTCATGCTTTATATACATTATTGCAACCGATTGAAGAATTTGATGAATCTAAGCCAATACTTAATGACGATAAAAATAATCCTTGGAATCTTGTTTCAACGTTATATCGTATTAATTCTCAAGGCAATGTTATTCCGAAATCTGCATTTATCGAGCCACCAAACAAGAATACAAATATGTATGCCAATTTTGGTACTGCGTTGATAGCAGTATATCAATTAATGACGGGTACGTCATTCATCTATTTACTCTATAAAGAAATATGTTGATAAGTAATAATTATCAAATAGGTGATACTGGATCTCTTTCAAGCTGGGAGTATAGTGAAAATTTTCCTTTGGTTTTCTTGATGATCACATTTTCTTTCTTCACCGTCATCTATCTACTTAATTTGTTCATTGGGTTACTGAATAACGCGATACAAGAAAATGATAATAAAGCATCATTCTTGATTCAAAAAGCAGAGGTTTTTAACCATATTTATTTATTTTAGTGCTATGGTTTCTTATTTTATATGATATCAGAAATATTAATTACTTTTATAATGTATAGATCTTGGCAGAAATTGAACTATTCTCTCTGTTTCCCCAACAACGTAGATGGAGGCATTGGTTTCCAGACTACATGTGAGTGCAACCGTCACTTATTGCTTATGTTTTTAAAGTACGTTATTAAATTTTTTTTTTTATCACAATAGCTATTATAAGGCACATGTGGATGAAATTCGAAGTAAAATAAGAGAAATAAATGGACTCGTTTGGCATGGTGTTGAGAAACCAATTTTACACCCAGAACTTTTAAAACTTATTGGTATAGATAAAAATAGATTCAAGGAATGCTAATGCATAAATAAATAAAAAACAACATATATATATATATATCAGTTAACCAGTTGGTCACATAATATTGTATGTAAATTTTTTATATATTATAAAGTTATAATAAAAACATAAAATTACTATAAACTTTATAGTGATGATGTTTTTAGGCTATATAATAACATTAAATTTTGAAAAAATTTTGGCTTAAAAATCAAATTATCATAAAAGTTTTTCAATTTTGCACAATCTGAAAATACAGTATATTTTTATCAAAAATAAAATTTATTAATTTTAAAATAATCAAAAATAAACACAAACTCTTTCCACTGATCCTTTGTATACAAGGATCTCTTGTAGTATAGATGACACCATTAATAAAATGTATTATTAATTAGTTGATTTAGAATAGGTGTCACTTATACTGCAAGAGATCCGTATACAAAAACACAGAAACAAAACAGTGACAAAAACACATAACTGGCAATAAGAAACAAGACTTGCAATTCTAAAGAAAAGTAAAAAGACCCAAAACAATACTCAGTCTCTTAAGAAACTAGAGTAAATAGAGCAGAAGTGGTTAAAATATAGAAAAAAACTTGAAAAACTGTCAATAATTTTTGCCTTTTGCAAGTTGTTTGAGGGATTGGCCTTGACTTCATAATGTAAATCAGTTTTTGTTATACAAAAACACAATATGTAATAAAGAATAAATAAAAAAGGGGTTTGGGTTTTATAGCTTAATAGATAAGCACCTATCCTCTATAGACAAGGTTAATGGTTTGAGTTTGACTAGAGGTAAAATACTCTGTAACCTAAAAAAAAGGAGTCTATAATCATACGTGAAGCTTGTGAAGGTATATATTTGGTTTAAAGAATTTTCAGAGGAAAACTAGTATAGCAGAGTGTAGACACTACTATAGTGAGAAATATGGAGAATGTCATTGATGTTTGTAGAAAGAATTGGCTTTATCTAATATAGAATCACCTCTGATACAAAAAATCCAAATAAGATGTAGCTGTGGGAAATCACCTTCTTTGGTAGAATTTACCTCACAAGTAAAGTAGCCTGAAGGCTAGAGAGAAAAAACCTTAATCAAAAGTTTAGATGATTAGATAATACTGAAAATCAAAGTGTTTAAATATAGGATCCACAAGCGGGTCTCAGGTATGGCAATAAGTGGGAAACCCTTGGAGTGAATCTTTAAATAGACAATAACTAAAGTTGTATATGTAGTTTATTGTATCATCATTGATATGTTACTGTAAACTCTTCCGTAAATACAGATTGCAGATACTTTGATAAAGAAAAATCCCTAACCATTGAGGTTATTCTATAAACTGTAAAAAAAAAAAAAGAATAAATAAAAAACATATTAACAAATACATAATAAATGAAAACAAATAAGATATATAAACACAACAACTAAATAGTTACATGAAGCAAGAAACAATAGAAAATTTTAGAAAAATATTTACAAAAGCAGAATAAGCAAAAACATAAATAAATACAGTACAGAAAAAATTAAAACAATATAGAATAGAAGAAATTAAATATACAGAATTTTACTTAAAAAAATAAACAATACAACATATCAAGAGGCAATACAGTTAAAAATCAACCTAACTGAACATATTCTATTAGAAGAAATAACTAAAACTATAAGAAAGCTATATATAATGAAAAGAGAGAGATAAATAACACATAATAAGGAAAGATTAGCCACTGAGTATACAAGGTTTAGGATAAAGACAGAATAGATGAAAAGACTAGATAAATAGAGAAAGTACTAACAAAGACAGCAGAATAGAATAGTATTAAAATTACTATTATAACATTTTAAAAAATCTGTTGAAATAATGACAATAAAACAACAAATAAAAAAAAAAGAAATAGAATTAAAAAAAAAAAATGCAAGTTCAACAGAAAGCAAAGTATCTAGAACAGAGACAACAAAAAGCTAAAGAAAAAAAAGAAATATTGAAGAAATAATTTACAGAAAGAATATTGAAGGCCTTACAGAAAAGAAAAAATAATCAAAAAATCAAAACCAAGAATCTTAGCAACAATTCTGGTAAAAGATAAAACCTTAACAATATACAAATTAAAAACCCACAAACAAAAATATCAAAGTGAATAGTAGAGATTATATATTAAATAAGCTTAGAAAGCAGACAAAATAATATTAAAACTGGAAAAAAATAAAAAGAAAATTTTAGAGAAATAGAGTAGACAAATTAAATCTCTAACAGACACCAGTACAAACATAGAAAATATTCTACAAAATGCAACAACAAGAAGAACAATAGAAGTTAAGAATTAGAAAAGAAAAAGTCATTATATTTAGAATAGCAAAAAAAATCTTAAGAAAAATAATTAGAAATCAAGAAAAGTATATCAGATACAAAAGAAATTTCACAGAAAAAAAGCAAGTTTATAGAATAAAAAAGAGAAAGCAGGCATTTATTTTTAAAAAATCAAGAATTGAAAAAAAAGAAAAACTTTATATTTAAAATAATAGAAAAGCTTTTGGAAGTATCAAGAAATCAAGAGAAGTATATAAAAATTTAAAAGAAGTTAATTAGAAAAAAATCAAAACTATGGAGTAGAAAAAAAAAAAAACACAAAGTTTTAATAAAGAGAAAAAGAAAACTCAAACAATTTAACCAAGACTTAGAAGCAGAAAAATTAAGAGTAGTATTAAAAAAACTAGAAGAAAAAAGTTATAGAGGAATACTTTTAGAGAAAATTTGTATAAAAAATATTATTAAGAATAAAAAGAGTAAAGTGAAGCTTAGAAACTAGAAAAAATATAAAAAGAAAAGAAAAATAGAAAATTAAAATATCAGAGCGAATGAAAAAGTTATTCACAACTCTTTCTGATAATTACTTGAACCAAAACTGCACCAAAACAGTTTGAAGATTTAAGACCCTAAAAAGTCTGAAGATACCTGAGGTTTCTTATTGGTACTGTTGTCGATGAAGACTTATATATGA